GATCTTACTCATGAATTTACTTAAAGGATAGTTTTGTTGATTATATCATTATCACCTAAGAAAATTAATTATATCAAAGGTTAAGGGTGACTGCTTAAATTTTTTTCCTTTGATTAAAAAATTATATTATATGTATTTCTTAACTATTTTTTTTTATTTGAATCAGGTTTTTTTAATCTTTGGTTAATATTAAAAACATACACGACACAACATAAACATGGATACATATCATTTAAAATTATATATATACATAAACATAAAATGGTGGATGTGGATCAAACACAAATTATCTATACCTTGTGGTATGTTAGAACTTTATATTTTACTTCTTATACTATTTAAAAGAATTGACTATAAATAATTATTTTAAATGTTTAACTTAATAAGAAATAACTTAATATGTGATATATACTCCATAAATATAGTAATGTGCATTGATTAAGCAAATATATGTAGACATATATCATACTATATATAATATCTATTCAATAGTAAATATACAATTATAATCGATTTATTTCTCTATTGTGATGTATGTATAGTTCTTTTAGTTTTTTAGTAATAGTCAATTCGAGACAATATATTAAATTTGAATCAAGTACAGATGTACACAAAAAAAAAACATCTTTTATAAATAATAACATTTTTATTCCTCTAGGGTTTTAATTTATACCTAACTAACAAAGAACAAGTCTTTGTTCTTATGAATTGCAAATAAATCGGTTAATTTAGTGTCCAAAAATGAAGAAGTGAAAGTTTTTCCAAAGTAGATTTAAAAAAGGCTTTTAGATATAAGTACATCGAGGCTTTGGAAGGTAGAGTTGTGGTTTCAAAGGTTTCTTATCAAATGCCACTTCTTGAATACTATTAAGCTCTTAATGTCATCAAACTTAGGTCTAGAGTGGGCTATCAATAAGCAAATCCAAGATGCTAAAAACGTGATACAATATTGTAATCTTGTAAAATTTATTGAATTCTGAAAGCCCAAAACTTAATACCTATCTAAATGAGCCTCTCGTGAATTATTTTGTAGGTCTTTATAACTTATGACTTCACATCTAATTATTATACATTATTAATAATGTATAAAATAATTATATTCTAAATTATTTTGTAAGTAATATTAAAATATACAAAAATAAAGGTATTAGTAAAAATTAAAATTATGAGGAGTAAAAAAGAAATCTTCTTCGTTTTTCAAACGCTTGAAAGCCACTCGTGTGAGTGCGCTGTTGACTAAGATCGTATCTTTTTTGTCCCTTTATTACCCTTTTCGCCCTCCGTGATTTCGTTTTATTACCAAAAATGCCACTTCTGATTTTTATATGTCCACTAGAAAATATTTTTAATTTTAATTTTAATTTTTTTTTTTGTTTTTTTTCAAAAACAAAACAAAACCCTCTCTCTCTCTCTCTCTCTCTCTCTCTCTCTTTCTCTCTCTCTCTCCCCACAGGATACGAAGGTAGTAAAACCCAATCAGCAAAGATCCCCATGAAAGATACCTTGAAAGCAAATCCTTTTCGGTCCGTACGCATCTTAGCATCACACATCCACGAGGCCAACTTTGACTTCGCTCACTCCTTCCCTCTATTTCCCCTTCTCTCGTATTTGGGGAGAGAACGTAGAGACAACTTAGAGGGCGGAGGAGTGAGTGGGGAGAACTGAAATAACATGTTGATTGAAGGAAGAAAAGGGTCTTTTTGTTTTCCACCATTACTGCTCGCCGTTAACCTGGCTCTTGCTTGTATTGATGGCATTATTGCTTTTCTAGCTTTTTATCAGGTTTGTTCTGTTCTATTGGTCTATTTTCTTCTTATCGCTGCTTTTTTTTGGGTCATTCAAAATTTCCTTTTGGTCAATGGGTATTGTTGATGATATTAAAAATGTAGTTATCTGATTAAGT